ATCAAAATGGAGATTCAAATGTTGGATCCAAAAACTAAAACTCTATCTAAAATGAACGTGTAACATTGAAATGAAAAAAAAAATATATGGAAATGTTCCAACAAATTGGCAGGCAGGAGAAATAATTCTGTAATATACCTGGGTCAATGAAGACATCATACATGTACAAAATGCAATGATATCAAATAACATAAATTGCATACTAACACTGTTTGTGTATTCTTATGACGCAAGTCTTGTGGGACACAAACCCCATTAATCTGAAGCTTTCAAAAACAGTCCAATTACTAAAATACATACATACATCTGGCATCTATCTAGATTAAAGGGACATATGCTGGATATTTTAATACTTTTTTTAATATGCATAATACTGAGCCAGCGTGGTGTGTAATATCTAGATCTTAGCACACCATGTACAGTTTTGTAGATTAGACCAGCTGTAAAAATAAATTCATATCAAGCTGCTTTCTTGATCGTAGCATCGTTACATGTATATCTACGAGTAATATTCATTTGGTATATTGGCTAATTACTCCGGTACAATAGACACAGAAAATTACTAAACACATCTTAAAGTAGGGACACTTTTGGGGTTAATAATTTTGCAATCTACATGTATAGTAATTATTACAACATGTATTTAGTATGAACATATCCATCTGATTGGCTGTAGCAAGGTCTTATAACTGGCAAGGACAGAGCTACGAATACGTCAAAGTACGACACACACACCACTTTACGTCTATGGGCTCTGCACGAGCTGCTGTGCAATGTCGGTCGCAAGGACGATGAAAATAGTAAAGTCAAAATAGTGAAAAGTCAATCAAACAGCACAAAATCAACTTAACGATACTACATGTATGAGACAATTCTGATCAACCTAATTTATGCTCGTTGCACATGTAGGGGTTATTTCTATTCAGGAGAATCTCAACAACTATATCAAAGTACAGTTTTGAAAGTTTTCGACCATTTCCCTAACTTTTGCTTCCAAAAATAGAAGACCAGTGACTCTATCAAGAAACTGAATAGACTTAACAACTATCTGATGCTTTGTAAGTAAAATCTCCCACCATATACATGTACACTGACTCATTCCCAAGCGGTTCTTTTATATGTAAGCGATACCCACATTTTCTCACTTGTCATTTATAACCTTTGATAATAACATTTTTGTACCTTAGCAGGGAAGATAATAAATTAATCAATACACAAAACTTAGCAATTAGTACGCAAAATAAAAATAGAATATTACTGAACACTTTAAATAGACACAGCAAGACTGCATGAGGAGACATGAGGTGATTAGTATAGATCACATGACCATTGTAACAACATCACAGCTGGGACACATCTGAACGATACGGTACATGTAATTTTCAATTCAAGTCATATAGTGTGATCATGAAACACCTCTTGCATAATAATCAGTTAATTCTCAAGTGTGATGGCATGATGCTTGGATTTTTAAATTCATATCATACTGTACTTGCTAAATAGTAAAAGCACATCACCAATAGAAGCACATGTAAAATACTAGTTGTAATCTTTTGACTTTTGGCCATAAACATGCATACATAAGCAGGGGTTTTTCTATGAAAAAACCACAAGACTGAGCACTGCAATTCAGCGGCGCCACCAAGTGGAGGAGATAGGGTTCTCCCTACCAGGGTGTAGAGTTTTTGATAATTCTAAGTTAAAATGGAGCAATCTGTGGCTTCCTTGGGGCCAAAACTACTATCAGACAGGTCACAGTTGAAGACTATGGCCACATGTTATCCCTGGTCAATCAGAATTTTTTTCCCCAGGGTAAGGGGCGCATGGCCATGGCATGAGGGCGCTACGCCTTTGTTCCCTTGTTTAAACAAATCCCTGATAAACACATGCTCTAGTAAATAAAGCAAATACAGTAAATAAATTTTAAAATAATGATGTGTTGTAGTTAATGGAGACAAGTTTGAACTTTCAAGTAAACAATTTTTTCTTTGAAAATATATTTGCAAAATTGGCAATACAGCTCTGAAGAATTGTGCTCGAGGAAAACAATTTTATTTTATATTACACCTTCCTGGCAATCTGTCATCAATTGAAGTGAATTTGAAAGTGTGTCATGACAGTAACTGGGTCAACTCTTAAATTCAGATTGTAATGATGCAGTGTTTAGTTTACTGCCATAGTAAAATAAAAAACTATTATCTACTTTACGTCCCTGGCAATCTGACCCATGGTAATACTAACAGTAACAAATCATGGAAAAACTTTGATCCAAAAACCATTAGCTAATACTAAGTCAATGTTAGGTCAAGATAAATGGAAAGAAAATGACTTCTGCAGGCAATGTGTTAAACTTCTTTTCAGTACAAATACATTTTTTCAGCACAGTAGATTGAAATGATATAGCTGCCACATTCAGACAGTTTGAGTGCATCAATGAGGTGTGCCCTCATCAACTTAGGCACTATCGTTATCTTTTTATCAGTGAGATTTTGGTTTCTGTTTGAAATTGACAACGAAGACTACTTTTCTCGTACAGTAATTAAGGTCTAATTATGTTTGGTAACTCTAAATGACTGCATTAAGCAATTTAGATGTTTAATTCATAATGTTTTAGAGTAGTGAACTTGTATGCACACTATGACAGCAATTATTTACAATCATGTGTATGTCAGACAAAAAATATCATGCATTGATCAAAAGTATTAGCCCTTAAGTTTTGGGGTTAACAAACATGTACAGCAGCGGCTTTTGGCCAAACTGTCACAAACATTTATTGCATTCGCTTCGTCCATTTATTATGCTTGTATCATACATTTATTGCACTGATGTCACGCATATTATACTACATTGAGGTCTGAATAGATCGACTCAGGTCATAGTAATTGTATTTTGTAGTGAAAAATGCAGACATGGGTCATCAATTGCTACGAATGCACAACAGCATTTTATCAAAGCCCTGTGGCTCGAGCCAGAAAAATAGTCGTGTTCGGCTTGAGCCATATTCGACTTCAATAAACCCTGGCTAAATCATGCCTAAATCGGCTTCTTCAAGTAACCTCTTACTTCAATTATGGCGGACACAACATCGTTTGTAATTTTGTGTAATTTCTGGCTTGACGAAGAGGTACGCGCCCTAATATATATTTGGAATCTAGTGAAGAAATACTGCAACACAAACTCGAAAGGATGACTGACAGATCCAATGGAAATTGAAGAAACTTTTTAAAGACACCAAAGATAAATTGTACATTGTAGAAGCAGTCACGATGCAGTTTTCAGTCATTTTCATACTAAGTATTTGACTGCGTTGTTCATCTCTGATCGAACTGAACTGAATTCTGACAGACCTCGGCTCTCGTTTGGTCCCGGCCGTGTAAAAACATTGGAGATAATCTCCTGTTAATTTGTGGAAGAAACAGTAGTTCGGCTCTGATACAATGCTGCCATTTTTCGTAGCAATAGAAGTCAGGTGGTCTTGAAAGAATGACAGTAAACGAGTAATCAAAATGCAATCAATACATAACCCTGATACAATAACTTTGCAGTTGAATGCAAAAATTATGACAAGTTGCATGAAAGATGTACTGTACATTTCATAAGACCACATAATCAAACAAAAAACTTTTTTTTGAAAGACGTGACTTTGGCTAACAAATTCTACAGCAGAAAAATTTCATTAATTCATCAACAGAGGGCGTTGCACAGTATGTGTGAAAAAAGATCACCCACACTTTTTTTGGCAGTGACAAACTAGGAAATATTATATAAAATTGTTTTGCTTGTTATTTGAGGCGACATGATTACTGAGCAATTTGGCTTTTTGGGTCATGAAAAATAGAGTCACACATCATGATGTTCTGTCATTGCAATAAAGATAAAATTTACAGCCAGGCTGTCATTGTCCAAATCACATGGTTTTGTAATTGTGGATTTATTGCCTCACAATAAGTGGGGAGGTATTGGGTGAATAGGTGGTGGACCTTGGCTGACAAACAATGAACAGAGATCTATATAGTATAATGGATATCGTGCATACAGTCGTACATGACGTAAATAGTAGCCATACGTTACAGCTGCTATATTTCATACAATAGTGATAAATGATGTAACCATTATTGTATTGACTGTCAGTGTGTATACATGTCATAAAAACTACACATTATGTCATCGTGGTTACTATTATGACAGTAATTGCTTAGTTTAAACTGACCGTTACATAATGTTAATTATTATTCATGAAGTCAGTCAGCCAGTCAAAAGAAAACACCAAGAATGATGACACTGAACGCAATGGAGAAGAGGTTTCTCCATTGCTTTTGGATAAAGTAATAAGTTAGTGGTAACATTGCAATTGTTCTTATGAGAACTCATAGACAAGAGGTAAAGTTGTTTATTTTCATGAAGCCGGATCAATAAATGTAATAAACTGAAACTTTTTTTTAAATTTCTAAAGATGAATAAGTAAAAAATACATGATGTACTAGTATATGGGAAATGACTGCAATTGTCTTGTTTTGAGTTATCACATTTACTAACACTCAAACAAATCCATAGAGCACCCAGATCGTGAACCAACTCGAAGCGCAAACACATGGGTTGTAGATATATATTAATAAACATATATCTGAAACACCGGCAACACTTCAAGTTTTAGTTGGTCGTTCATAAAGCCCCTCCCCTAGCAGCACTGGAACGGAAGACATGCACCACGGTTACTAACCGTACATGCACCGACCATGTTCGTTTATCGATATGTCTGCACGCGCACGATGCTTACCTACCACAAACTATGACTCAGTAAGCGATATCTCATTGTCACAAACTTCGGTAAATAAGTAAGATTTCGCTTTTAAATTACACAAATAGGCGACCTTTAACGTTGATAATCGACGCGGCCATTTTGAATGTTGCTTGTATCGTAGCCTTCAAACGATACATCTTCTCTCGGTCACTGTGACACTGAAGGGATGGAAGTCATCGAACAAAAATTGGATACTCACCAGTTTGTTGACTCGACATGAGACTGCTACGGTGAATGACAAGTACTTGGCAAGAATAATGGCAGAGTTCGGTGATGTTTAAGTAATCATACAATTCACATATAAATAGGCGTAAATAAAGTAACGTCAAGATGCAAACTTGATAAGTCCACGATCGCGGCCGAGATGCGACTCAGGTTGGGTCGCAGTTCGAACTCGCAATGGCGTTGCAGTTCGAACTTGGATGTTTGGATGTATCAACACGAATAGCAGGGGTTAAAACAATATAACTAATAACTTGTATACACGAACATTGACTCTTGCGGTTTGGTAGTGATCAAACGAAACGAGGACAGTACATACAAAAACACCTTACACAACCAAAACCAGCTTTCATTCAAAACACACCGCGACCTCCAAATCACTTCCGGATATTTGAACTTACTGTATGATGTCATTTCTGGATGGAACAAGCAAAATATATTAAAAACTAAAAATTCGTTTTAAATAATTATAATATGGCAACTACATATGTTTTTTTATTATATTTCTATACATGTTTATTAATATAGTATAACTAAACTTGTTATTTTATTTGTACATTTATCTTATATCGGTCTAAAATATATTCTGTGAACGAGCCTGCAATCACATGATTAGAAATTACCAAGTTGATCAAAATGGTGAGTATTTGCATGGTTTTGCCGTTTTGGTTTGTTTCATTACGTAGGTCAATTATTCTGTGTTATTGTTTACTGACGACTGTGGTCACGATGTAGCATACTGTGTTTAAAGCACGAACAAAATAGATTTCATTTGAGTTTACACTACTGTTCACTTATCCAGCCACTGGAAGAACGTGGAACGCGAATGGTTTTGAGGGAAAACAACAGTCAAAACAGTCTGTAACTTTTCAATACCATCACGTACGCCTTGTTTTAGTGGTGACCGTTAGGTCAGACTTTCAACCACCCATGTATATGGTGAAAGTAACCTATTTGATTCTTGCATTTGGCTCATGTACGCTTTCGGATTACTGCCGTATGTTCATCAGACTAGCCTCTGTCACGCGCAAATATGTCACATGACTTCAAGGTAATTAAGTTTTCTGTAGTAGTACTGTATCTAGCAAGTTAGTCAACAATTAACACAGGTTTCGTGATTCTTCTCTGCTCCATAGTTTTTTTTTTTTTTTTTTTTTTTCAAGAGTTAATTTTGTTTCTACATGTAGTTTGAAATTTCAAACTTTTCAAGAAGGAAGTTAAGGTAGAGATGCAGGTTCGTAGGCACTTGGGAGTGAAATTTTATTTTTTTTGCTTTTTATTATCCAAACAGTCTTGGCTATAAACTGTTAAAATGTGAATAGTGGGACATACTCAAAAAAACGATTTTAAAATATAGGTAACAGGCGCAAACATTCTCTCTTTTGAATGCTTAGCAAGATTTAGCAAGGCTGTACATAAATAATAAAAAAAGAAACATGGTGAAAAAAAGAAATGATGGGATCTCCATATTATGCACTATATTTAACTTTTAACAAAACGATAATTGGTTTAAATTTGGAACTGTTACAGCCATTTTAATTATGAGCATTAGCAAACTTCTTACTGAGTGAATTGTTATGCAAATTAGCAATTGTCTCGGCTTCTTTTTAGTGCACATCCCAGAACTTTAAAAAAAATAGCTCCTAGACCCTTTGACCTTTTGTTTTGAAATTTTCACAAATGATTGACAATGTGCCGTCTGGGCATTGTTTTTGGTTGAACAGTGTTACAACAATCGTACAGACAACTAGCATGGGTGTTAATTTATGCGTAAACTTGAAGTAGTGAAATTTGAGCTGCTGCCCTGCAAAATGGACAACTGGTAGACAATTTTCAAGACGGCACTTTCTTTATAGTAAACAGATGTACCCATAAACCAATTTTGACAGGAAACAGAAGCATGGTTTAGAAGCTTATCTTTTTTACATCACTTTTGACCCAAAAAGCACATTTTTGTGCATATTTCAAACTAGTGTCGATAAAAAAAATAATAACAAAATTTTAAAATTTATACAATAAGCTTTTCGAAAATATATAGTTTTGTGGACAAGGGAGGTCATCTTGGTTTCCTAATTAACTAATTAAAATACCTGTCAGGTAAACTGCATCTCTACCTTAAACAAGAAATAAACCTCAAACAATTATCGACGAACACAATGTAATTCTTATTGCGCATGCATAATATATCACAGTTACTAGGAGAACGGTTAGAAAACTGTCTTGGCTCTTTTGTTAGGATGTGTGTCTCGGTAAACATTTAAAATGAAGAGAATTAGCGTACTGCTGACGTTGCGGTGATCGTAATTTGCATAAAATTACATATTTGTTGGAATATTGGGGTTTTCTGTAATTTGTTTTCCTAAAAATTTTTCTCGATTTATACAACATAGTTCAGGATTTGGTATGAATATGAACACTGAAATAAAAAAAATATATTCAGATAAAACTACGCTATGAAACCATACAACTTCCTGTGTCACTTGAACTGCCAGCGGTTAGATGGCCGACATTGCTATTTGGAAGAAAAATGTCAGCAAACTTTGAGAAAATGAAACCAACATTATTTAAACTATTATAGTTCTCTCATAAAGGACTCTCAGATTCTAATTCAATGTACAAAATAAACTTGTGAACTGTTCCGAGATGCATTTTTGGGGTACAAAATTTCGTCGCCATGTTGGACAACAGTAGATGTAGACTTACGATCACCCTTCTGAAACGATGAAAATTTTCTACAACATCTTAGTATTTAACTTAACAGAAATTATAACAATGTAAACTATAAATACTAATTTAACAATGCATTGTACTAAAATATAATTTCTTTAGACTTTTCAGCTATTTTTCCGAACTAGTATGACAAACGCAGACAAAATGGCTGAGGATGCTAATCTATTTCCTAAAGTTACGATTGAAATTAGTTATGATAATCACAATTCCACATTAATATACCCAAACATTAGCCTAGTAATGAATACTAACATTTTAGAACATTCGCAGAGTTTTTTGGGTACAAAATGCTGTGTTAAATTTTGATTCACAGACGGCAAATGTGTCAACAAAACAAACTATGAGTATTTTCATTCTTTTTGAGAACAACAAAACCTTGAATATCACACAACATTCGCCCAGAAGTCTATTTCTTCGATTTAATAGACACACGTGGAAAACAACTAAATTAAAATAAAAGACTAATCTGCCCTGAATGTGAAATTTTGAAAAGGCAGATACTACATCTACACTACAGTTTTCTGAAATCAAGACATTGTTTTCTAGACATTTATAAATTTTTATAAAACATTAAATTTAAAAAACAATGCATTAGTATTTAGACACTGTTATCATTTCGTATGCAACATCGACACGCCAGAAGCTGAGGATTACCCGAAGAACAAAAAACCCTGGCAATATTTAATGTATTCAGAGCACATCGATGTGAAGATTTTTTAAAAAAACTATACGTCCACAACATTGTCACTGTATTTGTTCGGGTCTATTGTACCAATCAGCTGCAACCCTTTGATCTTGCCATCAACAAACCTTTCAAGGACTCGCTGAAATTTAATTTTCAAATGTGGTACACTGACCGTATTTTGAAGGAACTGCAGACAGGAGCTGATATTTCCGATGTCAAAGTCAATCTTCATCTTTCAGAATTAAAACTACATGTACTTCATGCTAAATGGTTATTTGAAGCCGGCCAGTCATTGAACATTGCCAGGAATTGTGTACAACTTGCTGCCATTACAGATCGACTGAAGCCACTACGTGAACATGTGGAACAAGTTGACAATCACATGATTATTGCTGTTGTTATAAAATGTCTCTTTTTTAAAACCAGAATTCAGATGAATACATAACATTTTTATTCACTAGTCTTGTGTTACTAGTATGACATTCAGAAAGATAATGTCATATCTGAACTTTTCATAAATTTTACATATTTGTGTAAAAAAAATATTTATTGACTGTAAATACATTTTTTTAACAATGAAATAAAAACATTAAATGAGTACTTTGTTTTCCACTGCTAGAATGATGTGAGTGTTGTGTGGAGTGTTGTGTACATCGATGGTGGTACAAAAATACAGCGTCCCCAGCGACAAAATTGAAATAAATAACCTCTAAACAAAATTTTCACGCATTTTAATTTTATCGCAGAGAGTCACCTCCGCGAACCATGCAAATATTAAACTACGGAAATAATTTCCGATTCTACAGTATTGGTTTACCTCCCTGACTAGCAGTTCCTAGTTATTTGTATTTTGTTTATATGTTTTATTTATATTTGCTCTCTCTGTTTCAGTCGTATGATGAAGAAGATTTCAGTGGTGGTGGTGGATACGTAGTTGGATCATTTCCCAAAGAGTTTGGTTATGGGCCAGATGATACAGACGCTGACGGAGCAAATGCTTCACCTGACAATAAGCCTAGAATACTCCTCATGGGATTAAGGAGGTTAGTTACAAACAACGACAAGGACAAGGACAGACATTTTTCTTTAATATACCTTTCCTTCATTCAGTGCTGAAGTCAAGTCAAATCAAATCAAGATAGTCATTTTCAGGAAAATTATTCTATTTAGGGAAGAGTAGGAAATCAAACGGGCGGTGCACCGCGGTCATTACCGCGGTGGTGGTGGGTGCTTGCCGGTCGACCGCATTTTATGCAAATT